ATAAATACATGAAAAGATAGGAGTTGCCTTACAAGTGTGAGGTCAGTCTAATGAGACAATTCAATTAACTGTAGGATACCACAGGAGGAAAAATAACTTTTGTAGTGGTAATGAGAGTGGCCCATTTCAAACAGTTGACAAGAAGGTGTGAGTAACAGTAGGGGGAAATTAGTATGGGAGAAATTAGGTTTAGGTTTTGTAATGACCCAATCACTCCCAGTCTTTATTCAGGCCTAATTTGATGGTGTCCAGTTTGCAAATTAATTCCAGTTCTGCAGTTTCATGTTGGAGTCTGTTTTTGAAGTTTTTTGTTGTTGAAGAATTGCCACTTTTAGGTCTGCTATTGAGTGACCAGGGAGATTGAAGTGTTCTCCAACTGGTTTTTGAATGTTATAATTCCTGATGTCAGATTTGCATCCATTTATTCTTTTGCATAGAGACTGTCCAGTTTGGCCAATGTACATGGCAGAGGGGCGTTGCTGGCACATAATGGCATATATTACATTGGTAGATTTGCAGGTGAATGAGCCCCTGATGGTGTGGCTGATGTGGTTAGGTCCTATGATGGTGTCCGTTGAATAGATATGTGGACAGAGTTGGCACCGGGGTTTGTTGCAGGGTTTGGTTCCTGGGTTGGTGTCTTTGTTGTGTGGGGTGTAGTTGCTGGTGAGTATTGCTTCAGGTTGGGGGGCTGTCTGTAAGCGAGGACTGTCTCCTACGGTCTGTGAGAGTGAGGGATCGTCCTTCAGGATAGGTTGTAGATCCTTGATGATCCGCTGGATAGGTTTTAGTTGGGAGCTGTAGGTGACGGCTAGTGGCGTTCTGTTACTTTCTTTGTTACACTACAGTGTTAATAAGCGATGGTCACAAACACCACCCTATACCAGAAACCTACTGACTGCTATACTTATCTACATGCATCCAGCTTTCATCCAGACCACATCACACGATCCTTTGTCTACAGCCAAGCTCTAAGATACAACCACATTTGCTCCAATCCCTCAGACAGAGACAAACACCTACAGGATCTCTATCAAGCATTCTTTAAACTACAATACCCACCTGCTGAAGTGAAGAACAGATTGACAGAGCCAGAAGGGTACCCAGAAGTCATCTACTACAAGACAGGCCCAACAAAGAAAGTAACATAACGACTACATGTAACCCTAAAACTTTTGATCAGGATAATAATGTCAGTGATTTTCTGAATAGTCAAACATTCTGATAAAGTTTGCTCTGCAGCAACTAAATGTGGAAATGTTAGGATCATTCACAGAAATTAAAGACACACTGACTAAAATGCTTATAGAACAGTCCTTAGTTTCTCACAAAATATGTGATTTAAAGAAATATTGTGCTGTATGACCAAGTTTAGTTTTTAAATAAAGCACTTTTTAGTACTGTAATTTTACTTTATCTGTATATAAAAATCATGTGAAATTGTATACACAGTTTGAACTGAGGTTTTATATATAATATTATTACTTAATAGATTTGGCTTTTTTAAGTCCAATTTTGTTCCACCTTTTCTAGCAGACCATTTACTAGCTAGAATCCTATATGGCACACATCACCTCCTTTAAGCAAATGATTTTTTTATTAGTCCCCAGAACAGGTACTTACGACAGGCTTCATTGTACAAAGTTCTGGAATTTTTTAATTGATGCTATTTATCTGATTAGCCTAAACTCCTTTGAAGCAAGTATAACACATCTCTTATTGATGAAATCAGAGTTACTGGCAAGCTGAGTATATCAGATGACACCTTCCTCAATTCTGGAAATTCCACCACTATGATTGTTTTATACATTAAATTAGCAGAATGTAGAAGATGGAGTTAGATGTGCTTGACTGCAAGATTTAGGATAAAAATTTAATGATAGTATCTTGTGACAGCTGTGTAGAGCAGCAGGCCCTCCATCTCCCTGGACTCGTCCCTTCAGTGCACTGAGGAGGATGCCAAACTTGATGGAGTAAACTCTTTTTCTTCCATAACAAAGAGTTTTACAAATAAATTTTTGATACAGGCCAAAGCGCCTTTCCTGTAGCTAATGTGAAACGGAGCATAGACATGGAGGAAGGCCTGGCAAAGAAGTAACAAAAGAGCTAGAAGCATACAATAAAGCCAGGCATACCACAAACCCTGAAGATTCCCCACCTCTCCAGTGCTCCAATTCAGGAAAACATCACTATTCTGGACAGCACTTCAAGTCAATGGACTTTAAGCCTATACTTAAATGCTCTCCTGAACTGTGGCCCAAAGCTGGGGGTAAAATTTTGAAACTGGGACTTTTGAAAATTTTATCCAGTATCATTAAAAATATCAGGCACACAATTAATAAGTCAACTATGCTCCTCTGACACAAATGAACTTTCAACAATAAGAATAAAGCTTGAGTGTTCAGGAGACAACTTTCTCCAAAGGTGATCCAAGACTGTGGAATGTACCCACCCACCGTCCCTCCCAGGAACTAAGACCATCACAAACGTTACCACTTACCACTCCAAGTTGAAAACGCATTTCTTTGACCTGCCTTCTCTAAAATAAACACACTAATAGCTAAAAGCCCATGCTTTCGCACAGGTGTAATTCATAAAGTCTTGTATATAAAAAGAGCTGCAAATGGGTGAGAACTTAAAAAATTGACAGTAACAGACCGTGAATCCTGAAACTGCTACACAGAAAGAGCTCTCAACCATGATTGTAGCTGCTTCCATCGCTTCACACAGATTAAACAGACACTATAGCTTCAAAATGACAGTGACAATCCTGGAATCTTATTATATAGATAGCAACAGGTATATTTATATAAAAAAAAACCCACCCTACCAAAAGAAAACACTCCACTGTACATTCATCTTCCTCTCAGGAAAGGATAAGGGAACAGAACACACGACAAGATCTTAGTCACATTGCTTAATGCACTACCGGAAAGTGCTCAGATACTACAGTGTTGAGCATGGCATGGTAAATAAACCTCTACAGAACAGAATTTGACTTTTTACAGTTACCACAGCTGAGCTCCCAGATAATGCTGTGATTGCAGCTTTGGACATGTGAATATTTAATAATACCATCAGTTTTTCAGATGTCACAATTATTTCCCGTTCTAAACACAGGAAAATAACTATGGTCTCTCAGATACCAATATGAGGTAACTGCTGGTGTATACTAAATATTTAATGGTTATCACTGTGTAAAATGTGTTTTCGTAGGATTTTTTTAAAAAATATCTTGATTTGATTTATTAGCAAGTGAAAATCCAATTTTGACCTCAGATACATGGGCACATATTGCTGTGTATCTTGACCCACTTCTGAAATCAGATGTATACTGTAACATATTGTTGAGTGGCTTGACCTGATTTTGACCTCAGCTATCCTAGCATGTATTGTTATGTACTGAATAATGTAAAATCAGCCACTGAGCAGGTCTGACAAGAAACACAACAATACTTGCCTATCTAGCTGAGATCAGAATTGAGTCCTAATAAATCATACATTGGGCATAGTTTTAGCTCCACACAAAGCAGTAACACATTCTATAATGGGGACTATATGATTATTTTTATCTTCTCCCATAATATTAGAATAAGGAGACACTTGAAATTAAAGAGAAATAAATTTAGAGCCAATAAAATTAAACATACCTCTTTACACAGTGTATAGGTCAACTTGTGGAATTCACTGTTGCAGTAGGTCATCAAGACAAATACCGTACCATGATTTACATAGGATTAGCTAATATAATGATCTTTACCAACACTAATAGCCATGCTGGCCAAAATAATGATACGGATTCTCAGATCTCAAGCTCCTAGATATAATCTGATCATCTGTCAGCATCGGAAAGAATTTCCTCACTTGTATACAGCATTGTACAATTAAGCCCTAATAAGATTTATGCATGAGCTTAAATTCAAACACTGAATAGTCATATTGAAGCCAATGTGACTACTCTCAGTGCATAAAAGTAAAGCATAATAAGTAACATAAATCTTTGCAGGCTCAGGGTATTAGGTAGGTGCTGGGGTTTTGTTTTTGTTTGTTTGTTTTCCTTCCAATGAATCATCCAGTATTGACCCATAGAAAAGAAGTTTCTGGACTAGATTAGCTAATCTGATATATCTGATATGACAATTCTACATAACATTTACTCACCTTATATGGCAATAACCACGTCTGTATTTAAAAATTTAAAATGCATTTAATTTGTTTTTAAACTTTCAATGAGAATTTGACGACTAATTCCCTGTGGTGTCTTTAAAAATCTCCCTCTAGATCATGAAACAAGGCATTATATTTATACAATCAAACACAAATGATATTGGACCAAATCCTGCTATAGGTTACATGCATGTAAATCCAAACATTCTTTCACAAAACAGAGAGAGGAATTTGGCCTCACATTTGTAGCAGTTACTGCAGTGGAAAAATAGCAGAAATAGTAACAGCAAAAGCAATAAAGCAATACTTGCAATTGCATACAGATTCAACAGGTCTTTGCACTAATCACACAGATCTAATAAGACTGAAATAACCTAAAATTAAAGAACATTTAAAATAAAAAAATCCTAAATAATCACAATTACATTAAATTTGTCGCTTATTTTGTCTTGTCATTATAGCATTGTAAAAAGGAATTGTATGACCCTATATGGAATACTGTGGAGAACACTAGAAATATTGCAGTAGGAGGGATACTGAAAAACAGTAAGAATCCCAGAAAATGGTAGCAAGGATAATAAATAGCCTCAGCAATTAAAATTATGTGGCGAGGTTAAGATTAGGGTTATTTTCATTAGAACATCAGCTATTCAGTGGAGGTCTATAGTGAAGGCAGCTGCCACAAAACTACTTGAACAACTTACATCAAAAAAGCAAGAGGGCACAATCTATTCCTCCCAAATCACTGTTTACAGCACACAACACTAATTTAATTTCAGAAGCCTGCATCCACAAACACAAATGTCCATAGGAAAATGTCGCTTTGGTCTTACCTTTTGCTGCCTGGAACCTCGATGACTTTCTGGGTGACAGTTTCTTCGGATACTTGAAGGAGTAGCCCATTTTTCTTCTGACTTCTAGAAAAATCATCTTTCCTTCTCCATCTTTGAGTCCCCATAATTTTAAAAGTTACTTTGAAACTTCCAGTTGCAAGTGTGGAGAGGTGATACTGACACATTATCATCACTGGATCTGATGATAATTTTTTCCTTAACTCACCATTCTATCTTTTCTTTCTGTCTCTGATTTCTCTCCTTTCCTTTATTTCCTTCTTTTCTGCTTTTTTCCCCTCTTCTAATTCTGCCTGCAAACAGTCAATAATTTTTCCTACTAGCCACTTTTTCCTCATCCCTTTTCTCTTCCTTTGCCCAGGCTTCATGTGTAAAGAGCTTGCATAGTGAACCTGACTAGGATTATTTAGTTTCCATCTGTACCTAGCCTTCTTACACTGGATCTGTCTGCACAGGGAAACTGACGACCCCTTTATTATTTTCCCTTTTTATATAAGGCAGGGAGGAACTAGACTAATTCTAAACTCTTTATATGGGGAGATCATTTTCGCTCTCTCCCCACTTTCAGCACCAGGTACTAGCTCAGGAAGATCTTGTTAATTTTATTTTTGCTGTTCAGTTCCCCTATGAAAATGAGCAGCAGGGCAACCACTTTGATGCATGTCTAAGGCATGTAACTTAAAATAATACATATGGTCAACTATAATAGTAAAATACATGCTGAATACCCCAGTTAAACAGAACAAAAATGGCATGCCATGTATTTGTTATTTAAACCTGCCCTCTCCCCCGCCCCGCTTTGTCTCACTGCCTTCCATTCTAGGTGACATCCCAAAGAGACCTCAAAGTCATAACTGGACCACAATGGAGCTTACAGGAATAACAGAAATCTCTCCATACCTATTTCCAAAATTTTTATTATCACTGGAAATGCAAGAGGGTATAAAGTAAAAAATTCACTTTCAAAATTACAAAAACAAGCAACAGGATCTCCCTTGCAGACTCCTATGGGGTTGAGCACAGTATCTGCTGGGGTATCCTTTCAAAAAGGAGTTGGCCAGAGGGAAACAAAAACACTGTGCTTTCTAATTGAAACTGTGCTGAGTTATCCTATGCTACTTACTAACAATTATTTGTTAATTATCAGTTCACCTTCAAATCCCCAGTGCAACACTATCCCTTTGATGTGGCTGTGGGGCACATGCTGGACAAATACAATGAAATGGAAGAACAAATAAGATAAAATTAACTGAACCTAAAAGCTGTTATTTTCTTACTATTTCTTCTTCTTTGTCTGTTTCCAGGTCTACCCTAGGTCCTCCCCTCTCTCTTTTCCTCCTCCTCTGGCGTCCTCTACCTTTTCCCATCCCCCTTGATCTCACTCTTCTACTTTTGCACCTTCCACTAGATCTCTTTGACTCTCCTGAAAGCATATTTTGCTTTCTGTCTACTTTGAGCCAATGCCCCCTACAGACCTCTCTCTCACCCAAAAATCAGTGGACCATTAGCAGGGAGGGACGGGGAAGATGCTGCTTGGCTGGCAGCAGTCTGACTCACTCTCATCCTGCTCTATTTACTGAACTTTTCAAATTGTAAGATTGTTTCTACTTTTTTTTTTCTTAAAATTGCCCATTGTTGCAAACACCAGTGCAGTTCTGCAACGGTGGAGGAGCTAGCAAAGACCATCTGCCAGCATTTTAACCAGAGTAGTAAATGGTTAAAGCACCAGCATCTACCAGAAGACAATTTACATCAATAAGCCCCCTGTTAATACTACCAGCGGAGCTCCACCGCTGGTAGCAATAGTGGGGCATTTTAAGAGACAAAATTTAGTCTAGAGAAGGCCCAACCTGGCTGCAGAGCAGGCAGGCAGAAGAGAGGCAAAACCAGCTGATTCACAGGGGAACTGGCCAGCAACCATTAACCAGTACTGCCAGAAGATGCAAAGAGCTGTGTACCTATCAAACAAGTCTAGTGCTGAATAAACTTCAACCTCTGATGTTCAGATTTTACAGAGCAAGAGTGCATTGGGGTGAACTATCTGACGGTATCAATACTTGTCTGTTTGGTTTGATCTAACGCTAAACACCACAGTATCTGGAGGCAGAAACAGGCCCAAGCATCCAGAGGCTCCCTGCTATTACCTAAGACCACCCTGTGCCAGCTAGTGCCCTCCAAGGCAACAACCCCACAGCCCTGCAGGGCTACCCCAGCTTGCTACCTTCATCCTCCCTGCCCCCCAGGAAGGACCCGGGGCCTAGAGCCGGGGGGGGGGGGACCCAAGCTGGTGTCAGGGGAAAGCGAGGCACCCGGGGTCCCCGCTCAGGTCAGGTCACCGCCCCAGGCAAGAGCGATGGAGACGAGCTGAGTCCAGCTCGTTTGCCGCAGGCTCGGCCCAGGGGGTTGAGCAGGGCGGGGGCCCTGAACTCGGATACACCCAGCACCCCCCGGCGTCTCTTCCCGCTGTCACCAAACGGGCAGCCGAGGTGGGGGGTGTCGCTCCCCCTTCCCCTCAGAGCAGGGCCAAGCAGCGCGCCAGCCCCAGCCCGCCGCGGCCTCCCCAGCTCCGCCGAGCTGCGCGCTCCCCGCTCCGGCTGTGGGCGGGCTGGCGGGAGGGGCGAGGCCTGGTGGCGAGGAGTAGCGGCGGGAGAGTCACTGCAGACCCCTCAGCGCGTGGGAGAGACGCGGGCGGCGGAGGAAGCGACGAGCCGATGGGTGAGGGCCCCGGGAGCGCGTTGGGCGGGTCTTAACCCCCGTCTGAAGGGGGCGAGGGGCCCAAGGGTGCGCGGGGCCCTGAGTTGATGGTGGGGGGAGCCCAAGGGTGCGAGGGGCCCAGAGTTGAGTGGAGGGGGA